AGCAGGACCACCCAGAACAGACACACCGGGGCCCTCTATCTGCAAACAATCTTCAGAATCAAAAGAAACTAGCACACAGAAAGCAAGCAAGCTCACACAAACACAGGAGCTGCTGCTGCTGCTGCTGCTGCTGCTGTTGCTGCTGCTGCTGCTGCTGCTGCTACACTGCCACAGCCCCTCACCACATCCGCGAGGGCTCGGCGCTGCGCACCTGTTTGTTTCTCAAATTAAATTGTTTAATTGTATTTATTTTTGATATTAGAATTACTTTAATTCGTTTCAAAGCGAAGGAAATGGATAAGGCGGGCCAGCGGCTCGCGAGCCCGGCGCCCGACTGCGGCGCGCTGGGGTGTACAGACACCTCGAGGCAGCGCCCGCTGCCCCAGAAAAACTGAATTGACCGTCACTTCGATTTACTTTTAATTTTTAATCAAACATTTTCGTCTAATTAATCATTTAGTCCGGTTTTTTTCTCATTTTCGTTTAAAACACTGGAGAAATGCTTGCGGCCGTCAGGGGCCCCCGCTGCTTCTCGCAGGCCCTGCGGCTGTTCGCTGCTGCAGCGTTTATTGCTGTTGTTTTGTTCGCCGAAGCAAACAATTATTTAATTTAATTTAATTCATTTGTTTTTCTCTTCAAAAAGACCCTTCCTAGGCCCTCCACTTCTTTAATTCTGATGCCTTTCGCTTTCTGCGCAGCACACGCAGCTGCATGCGCTGGCGAGCTGGGGTGTACGTACACCTCAAAAAACAGCTAATTCCGCGCAGTTTATTTAAGGCTTTCATTTTATTTCTTTTGACTTCTTTTCAGCGACTCCGGAGCCCCTAGAAGCTGCATGCAAGCCGCTAATAAATCCAGAAAGAGAATGTTTTATCTCACTTTTAATTATTTAAAATTAAAAAGAAATGCCCTTTGCTCCTTCACCCCAACTCAAAGCCTCTTATTTGGAGTTTGAATCTGGAAAGCAAACAGAAAATAAATAAATTAATTAATTAATTAATCGATTATTTATTTATTTATTTATTTATATTCAATTAATTGAAATGAGAAATAAAGAAACACAAATGCATTACTGCTCTACTGCTGCCAGCCCGCAGGCCAAAGCTGCAGCAGCTGAACAGCTCGCTGGTTTTATTTCATTTAATAATAAAACAATTTAATTAATTCAATTTAATTTAATTTATTAATTCAATTTAATTGCTTTCGATAAACAGAAACAAATAATTAAATTCATTCCATATACTAAGGGTCAGCAAGTGAGCAGCAGAAGCTGCTGCAGAGAAGCTCCAGCAGTAGGCGAGCAGCTACAGCAGCAGCTGCTGCTGTTGCTTCAGCAGCAGCAGCTACTGCTGCAGTACCGGCAGCAGCTGCTACTGCAGCACCAGCAGCAGCAGCTACTGCTGCAGCACCAGCGGCACCTGATGCTGCAACACCAGCAGCTACTGCGGCAGCAGCAGCAGCAGCTGCTGCTGCTGCAGCAACCGCAGCAAGTCGCCGTTACTGCGCATTTGGATTAAGAGGAAAATTCTAAGCAGCAAATAAACAGCAAATGAAAGCTGCAGCAACTCGCGGAATAAAAGGAAATTAAAAAATTGAAAAACTAAAAATGATAAATCCTAAAAAGCAAATTGCAAAAGGAAAAGTTTTCTAAACAAACTAAAACAAGTCTGGCTAAAAAAGCAATTAGAAGAAATGCAGGAGATAAAGAGAACATAATTGTTTTCTTTCAAGTTAATGCTAATTACAAACAGCAGCAAAGCTGATACTGCTGCTGCTGCAGCTCTCGCTGCTGCTGCAGCGCAGCAGCAGCGACAGCAGCAGCAGCAGCAGCTCCTGCTGCTCCCGCGGCTTTCCACTGCCTCCTTGCACACAATCGAACAAACGCTATTAATCTGCGAATAATGAGAAAGAGAATAAATGATAAATAATAAATGAATTATAATTTGCAAATAAATAAACTAATGAAGCCTTAAGGCTTCTTCTCTCCATGGTACTTCTCGTGGGCCTTTTTGTGCTTCTCAAGAAGCTGCAAAAAGAAAAAACAAATAAAGAAAAAAGATAAAAAAGATCAAGAAAAGACTAAAAAAAGATTTAAAGAGATAGAGAGATAAATAATGAAATAAATAAATACCCATGCGCAACAATTACACGGAAAAACGACAAAATTTGGCGCAAAAGAAAATGAAAAAATAACTGAAAAGAATACCGACTGTACGTACACCCCAAGAGCAGCACGTACACCCGAAGAGTTGACGAATTGTGTTTTAAAAAACAAATTCGATGAGCAGCAAAATATAAAACAAATATATAAAATAAATAAAAGTTTAAAAATAAAATATAAATGAGCATCTGCCGCATGCAAACGAGGGCAGCCAGAGCTGTCGATACACCCCAAATGCACTGCGAGCGTTTCAGGTGTCTCGGGGGCTCTTCTGTAAATCCAGACTTTTCATAGATTCAAATATATTAAATCAAAATGTGTAAATACGTTTTAAAATGCAACGCATGCAACAAACCGCGCAGATCAGGTTCACAGAGGCAGCAAAATGAGGTGTACATACACCTAGTAACTGCACTTGAGTACATACACCTGCGTACACCTGAGGTGTACAGACACCTGGCTGCGGCATTTCACGCCGTTTTGGCGATTTTAAAAGATTCAAAAAAATGAAATGAAGAATAAAATAGAAAATGGGATTTAAAGGAACCAAAATAAACTGGAATTGCGAAGAAAAGCCTGAAATCCGCGGTTTTTTGAGGTGTCTGTACACCGCACCTTCGCCAGGTTCTTCCGCTGGCTTTTTGGAATTTCTTTGCCGTCTGCAAAAGTCAGAGGAATTCCCTCTTCGTCAAAAGTGCCATAAACGCCTTTTTGAGTTTCTTTGAAGTATTCTTTTGGTTCAATTTGAGCTTCAAGCTGCTTCTTTAGAAGCGCCTCGGCCTGCAGCAGCAGCAGCAGCAGCGGTAGCAGCAGCAGCAGCAGCAGCGGCTGTCAGTGCTACTGTTTGTTAATCCAAGTTTTTCGCTTTTTATTTAAGCCATTTGTTTATTTTTTAACTTGCATTAATTAATGCACCCAGAAAAAACATTTTTAGAAACACACTTATCGATTATCCTGGAAATTAAATAATCGAACAAATTATTTAATTAAATAATCAAATTAATTGATTAATTTAAAGAACTAACTAATTTAATTATGTAATTAATCAACTAACCCGCTTAATCGACTAATTAATTAATGAAATTTAATTAATTAATTTAATTTAAACAAATTAAATAAACTTCATTAATTCATTTAATCAAATTAATTAATTGAACTAAATAAAATGATTAATTTAAATAATTAATTAAGTTCACTCACTTGATTTTTTCTCTCGAGTTCTCTGGCGGCTTCTTTCTTTTGTTCTTCTACTTTTCGGAGTTGCAATTCTCTCAAAACTTCTTCTCTGAGAAAAAAATTAAAAAAATTTTAAATAATAATAAAAAAATAAAAAATAAATAATAAATAAACAAAAAATAAAAAAGGAATAAATAATTAATAATGATAAAAAACAGATAAGTGAGTACTAAACGAATTAATTGACCGATTAATTAAATAAGAACAAGTTAAAAATCACAAATGGACCAGTGAGTGGCAAAAAGTAAAAAAAAATCAAATTAAAAATAAAAATAAAAAGCAAATAAATAATGCATGCATAATTAATGCATGCATTATTTATATATGCGAGTGAAATTAATGAATCATTTTTATTAACTGATTATTTTATTTAGTTTAATTAATTAATTTAGTTAAATGAATCAATGAAATCTAATTAGTTGGTTTAATGATATTTAAATAAATTAATTTAATTCACTTAATCAATTAGTTGATTGAGTGAATTAATTGATTAATTACATAATTAAATTCGTCAAAATCCAAAAGTGGAAAAAATCGAATTAAAAGTAAAAATAAAAAGCAAATAATAATAACTGCGTAATTAATAAAGTGGCAAACAAATAACAAAGATGGCAAGAACGGCAAAAAACAAAAAGTGAAAGTAAATGAAAGTGAAAGAACTAGTAAAATAAATCAACATAATTAAACAAATAAACAAATAAATAAAAAACAAACAAATAAACAAACAAACAACTAAATATACAAATAAACAAATAAACACATAAACAAACAAACAAACAAACAAACAAATAAATAAATAAATAAATAAATAAATAAATAAATAAAGACATGCTTTGTGGAGATTCTGAAGGAAGAAGAGCCATCTAGACTGTCTTGAAGAAGAACTCCCAATTGTGGCAGCTTTTTGTCTCGAAGTTCATCCGACAGCAGCAGCAACTCTTGAAAAAGCTCCTTTGCTGCTGCTGCTGCTGCTGCTGCTGCTGGTTCTCCTGCTGCTGCGGATTCTGCTTCCCCCGATGGCTCCTTTGCTGCTGCTGCTGCTGCTGCTGGGATGCTGCTGAGGGCCCGCAGCCCGCGGGCCGAGACGCTGCGCACCTGCAGCAGCAGCAGCAGCAGCAAATAAAATAAAATGAATTATGAAATAACATTTAATAATTATAAATAAATAAATTATAAACTAAAATAACAAATAATAAATCAATTAAACACTTGCATTCATTTATTCGTCTTCCAAAACATAAACACGGCAGCATACAACTGCTGCTGCTGCTGCTGCTGCTGTTCCTGGTCTTGCTGCAGCTCATTCCATTCTGCAGCTGCAGCTGCAGCAGCAGTAGCAGCAGAAGCTGCTGCTGCTGCTGCTGCAGTTTCGTTTGAATTTAAACATTTTGCTGCAGAAGTACTTCTGGAAAAGCACCTTTTCTCTGAATTCGGCGATGCAGTCCACAAAAGGCTCTGCTGCTGCTGCTGCTGCTGCTGTTGCTGCATCTTGCTGCTCATAATTCAAATCTTCTGCAGAGTCGGAGACAATTCCGAAAATCTAAAAAGCAAAAAAACAGATTTGAATTTAATTAAGAAACTAAATGTGTTTAAAAGGATCAGATGAATTTAAAAAGATTAAAACAAATTAAAATAGATCAAAAATTAATTATAAGACGCCTAAAGACATTAAACGGATTTAAAAGCATTAAAACAAATTAAAATAGATTAAAAAAAGAATTTAAAAATGTTTAGGCGGGTTAAATGGATTTAAAACGATCAAAACAACCTAGAAGATATTGAAAGGGAATAAAAAGGATTTACAAAAAGAATTTAAAAGAATTAAAAAAGGATAAAAATGATTAAAAGACTGAAAGATATTGAACGATATCATTAAAAAGAAGAAAAAAAGAAAAAACAAAAAAGGAACGAAAGATAAAAACCAAAAAGATTCAAAAAACGAAAAAGCAAAACAAAAGAAAATCAAAAGGTTAATTAAAATTCAAAAAACAAAATGAAAAAAAAGAAAAAGAGAAGAAAAAGAAGCAAAGAAATAAAAAGAAGTGAGAAGGAAAATAACAAACAGAAGCAAAAAAGAAAAGAAAGCAAACAAAGAAAAAATGATTTTGAAAAAAAGCAACACGTTGAACAGACAAAACAAAAAAATAAAAACAAACCAAAATAAAACAAGGTAAATAAAACAAATAAAGTAAATAAAATAAAATGAAACCAAATAAATAAAACAAATAAACAAACTACAATAAGCAAGACAGAACAAACAAAATAAAATAAAATCAAGAAAACAAATAAAGTAAATATAATAAATAAAATTATAAAATAATAAAATAATAAAACAAAGGAAATGGATAAAATAAATAAAAAGAATAAAATACATGAAATAAATTAAATAAAATAAATTAACAGATAAAAATAAAATAATAAACCTCGCCTGCAGCATTTCGAAAACATATTCGGCGGTTTCCTTCAAAAGAGGGACTCGAGGGTTTAGGGTTTTGTTCAAATAATTATTTGCTGCTGACACCAAGTGCTGCAGCGCAACAAGAGCTTCGGGCGTGTCCACGTTGTCTAGCAGTGCTGCTCGCACCTGCGCGCAAACCCTAAACCCTAAACCCTAAACCCTAAACCCTAGCTCCCAAACCCTAAACCCTAGGCTCTCCAAACACTAGCCACTAAAGTGCTGCAGCGCAACAAGAGCTTCGGGCGTGTCCACGTTGTCTAGCAGTGCTGCTCGCACCTGCGCGCAAACCCTAAACCCTAAACCCTAAACCCTAAACCCTAGCTCCCAAACCCTAAACCCTAGGCTCTCCAAACACTAGCCACTAAAGTGCTGCAGCGCAACAAGAGCTTCGGGCGTGTCCACGTTGTCTAGCAGTGCTGCTCGCACCTGCGCGCAAACCCTAAACCCTAAACCCTAAACCCTAAACCCTAGCTCCCAAACCCTAAACCCTAGGCTCTCCAAACACTAGCCACTAAAGTGCTGCAGCGCAACAAGAGCTTCGGGCGTGTCCACGTTGTCTAGCAGTGCTGCTCGCACCTGCGCGCAAACCCTAAACCCTAAACCCTAAACCCTAAACCCTAGCTCCCAAACCCTAAACCCTAGGCTCTCCAAACACTAGCCACTAAAGTGCTGCAGC